AACTACCCTTCTCACCAACGTACTATGCATTGGTTCTCTTCTTTAAGACTAAAAATAACAATTTAAAGTATAATATTATTATGAACGACCGAAAACTCGTAAGACAACGATTATGACTACATTTATGACTATTATTTTAATGGATCTCCTAACGTCATACTTTTATATTTTATTTTAGAATCGTACACGATACACAATAAACACTGGATCTCTAAAAGATATGGCGGTGCGGTGGCGTTAAATGTTATTATATTATGTATATTATTTAACTCAATTGAAATATAGGGGAAATATAGAGGGGGGGGTGTTTAAGAGTCAATTCATAATATTCTTTGCATATCTTAATACGAGGTCCAATATAATAATATAACATTTAAAATGGTATTATTATTATGTCCCATATTTAATGAAAATTATTTTGTTACTCAATTTTCAATATATACCTACCTAATATTAGTAAAATGAAAATATAATCTTACTATAATATGTAAATATTAATAAATAATAATTAAATATCGTTAAAAAAAAAAATCTGGGGAGGTGGGAACCCCCCCCCCCCCGTAACTACACCACTGCGTTTAGGTCGTTTAAGATTGCCAAAATAATTCTTGCACCGAGCACTGAAAGAGCTAAAGCCAGCCATGCGCCGCGACGTAAATACCTAATGAAAACATCTCGTCTAGTTATCATGGCGGAAAATGCGACGGAATATGTGGCGGACAACGTGGTGTGTAATCCCAGTCTTATAATGGTATATAAAACTAACATTATGATTAATATAAAATAATGAATGGATCTCTTTATGTCGTATCCGAGAGCACACTAACACTCCATCGCGACGTTGCCGTCATATGGATCCCACATAAGGCGCAATAAATTTACAGACCGACACACTGAGTGTGTTTTAAATGCATAGATTTACTAGTGGTGTGTGTATACACACACCAAAATTTTAAAATTATGGTTTAACGAGATCCGGCAAATTTTGAGCTGAAATTATATTAATTCGCCTTTTAGGTAACAATTATGATAAAAACGTTATGAGATCCGGGGTGTTGGATCTCATAGCGAAAAATGATCTCGCAACGCTGCTCCGTTTCTATACCGTGGATCTGATAACGTATGAAGTGTATGAGCGCCGGCGGTCATTTGGTAAGTTATTTATGGACGCCACAGCGTATTTCATCGGGATTCCTAAAATGTTATCGTCGATATTTATAGTACTATTCGACGGAAAAATATAAAATTGATATCGATGTAATTGTCTTGGTCTCATGATTATTATTTTTGCATTGACATTGTTTGGTAGCCGGCGGGCACGTGGCGTAGTGATAATGTCATTATTACTTATACGCCATTTGACTACCGGTGGTCACGTATGCTGCGTATTCTTTTATTTCAAACATTTATTTATTATATTTAAAATGTATTCGCGACCAAAACGAGTTAAATTAAATGATGATTTTATCAATCAACTATTAGAAGACAGTAGCGACAATTTGTGAATTTGATGATTCAGATGCAGACAAGACGTACAATCCCGTCAGTTCTTCGGAGTCTGATGTCCTAAGTGGTAAGAAAATTTATATTATTTTACGGATTTTTATATTTTACTGTCTCCTAAATTATAAAAAATTATAAATTGTCATTTCGTTAATATTTATAGAACTATTATGTTAAGTTTTTATTATTCAAATTAGGTATTTTCATAATTCCGTATATAATTTATATAATTATTGATTCTCTATAAAGCTAAGTGATAATAATGAACCAAGCACCTCGAGCAATATTTCCGTAGCATCACAAACTTGGACAAATGTTACTGGCAATTATCAAAAACTTCTGCAATTTAATAATAATTCTGGACTGAAAATCGATGTATCAGTTGATTCTACTGCTTGGGATATTTTTAATTTATTCTTGACTAATGAAATAATTGATCTTATAGTCGAAGAAACCAATAAAAATGCCCAAAATTTTTTATCAAAAAACAGATTGACAAAATCTAGTAGATTTTCTAAATGGATTCTTACAGATCAACAGGAAATAAAAAAAATTGTTCGGATTAATGATCTGGATAAGGTTAGTTCAAATGCCCACTTTGGAAGACTATTGTAGTATAAGTATAAGATATAAAAATAATGTAGCGCAAAACACTATGTCAAGAAATTGGTTTGAATTAATTCTTAGATTTTTACATTTTTCGGACAATGAAAAAGCTCCAAATAACGACAGGATTTATAAAGTGCGCGATTTAATTAATAAGTTAATTGAAAATTTTCAAAAAATACTTGAACCTGAAGAGTATTTAGCTGTTGATGAGACAATGGTCCCTTTTAGAGGGAGGTTAATATTTAGGCAGTATATACCAGGAAAAGCGCACAAATATGGTGTAAAGTTGTTATGCGGAACAGATGGCTATACGTATAATGTGCAAGTATATGCTGGCAAAAGTCAAATTGATGGAAAAGGTCTAGGATGCAGAGTAGTGTTGGACTTAAGTCAGAGATATTTGAATTCTGGGCGGACAATAATCACTGATAATTTTTATACCTCAGTGCCATTAGCATATGAACTTTTAAAAAACAACATACACTTGGTAGGAACATTACGATCGAACAGAGTTAAATTACCAGAAGTAACCAAGGCCAAATTAAAACCAAATGAAATAGTTGGAAGGGAAAATATTGATGGGATCGTCATAGCTAAATGGAGGGCAAGAGGGACGTCACAATGTTAACCACACGACATAACATCAATATGGTAGATACAGGGAAAATAAATAAAAAAAAAGAAAATATTGTTAAACCTCAAATTATAATTGATTATAATAAAGGAAAAGCTGGTATAGACTTGTCTGACCAGCTATCAAATTATAACTCTTCCGTTCAAAAATCCATCAGGTGGTACCACAAAGTAGCTATTGAACTTTTGTTTGGAACGTCTATTGTGAATGCACTTCTTATATATAATAAAATAAAACCTAATAACAAGTTGAAAATCACACAGTTTCGAGAAGCGTTAGTAGATGAAATATTAGGACTCAAAAAATCAAATGAAAATGAACAGCTAACATCTACATCAACACTAAGGACACAAAGACGAACTACGAAACATATCTTTCAAGAAACTACCGAAAAATGCAAAAGGAACAGGAAAATTCGAAAAAGGTGCGCTCATTGTTACGAAAAACAAAAATGTCTCGAGGGATCTGTGAAGGCAAGAGAAGTAAAGAAGATTTCGACATTTTGTGCTACTTGTAAAATCTATACTTGCTTAAGTTGTTTTAATATTCACCATATTAACTAGGTAACATAATTTTGAAATATTTTATTTTAAAAGGAACAATATTATTTTCAAAAATTAATTTTTATTAACCAGTTGTAATTTTATGTTATAATTTTTACGTCTATTACATAAATAATAAAAAAAATATGAAAAATAAAATTAATAATGTATGATTTTTAGATTTAAAACATGTTGGTAAAAAATATTTTTTTTAGTATGATAGAATCGTCCAATCATATTAAAAACTATACCATTCGATGTGTTATTATCTTCTCTACGCCATGATGTAATAATATACACGATTCATTGAACGCCACAGTATAAATTCACGTTTAAAAATGTATAAGAATATGGCAGCCCGCGTCCACATGGCGTGGATGTTATAAGGTAGTTTGACAGCCGGCGACCACAAAAGCAGTAATAAGTTTCTAGTTAGTGTGACCGATGGCGGGCACATGGCGGTCAACGTGTTAGAGAGTTGCATTCAATGTTGAACACTTTACTGTAATATTCGAAATTACTGAAAATTTGGTTTCATCAACTAATACAGCAAATGCACCAAATGTAGAAATATTTTTTAAAATGATTTCTTTGGTACAAGAAGCAATTACATGTATCAACTGATTTTGTATAACAGAAGTATAATGATCATAAGTTGTTTTGGATAATAATCTAATTTTCATACTTTCATTACAGAACATTTCAATTAATTCTTTTAAATTTCCTTTATTTGATGAATTTTGTTCTTCATTTTTACCTCTAAAAGCAAGTCCTTGCTTTCCTAAAAATAATGTTGTTTTTAATAAAAATTTAACGTGTTCACAATTTTCAATAATTGCTTGAGATCTAGAATGAAACAATGCATTGGCTACTGAATTATTTTTATTTTTTACACTTAAGTACATCGTCCATTTTTCAAAGTTTGATAAATGTCTTTCACTTAATTCATGTTTTATAAATGACTGTTTCTGTGTCTTCCAACGATTAAAGCCTTGTTACACAAATATAATATTATTTTCAATTTGACCACGAACATTATTATTATTAAGAAAATGCCTGCAGGAAAAGCAAAAACTGCATTTCTTGAAATTGAATATTCCAACCAGTTATGTACTTCATAATACTTTGCATTAAAAGACCTTCTTTCAGAGTTCATAGGAAATGATTTTAAAATTGGTTGAATTGGACTTTGATCTTTTGAATTAGAAATATCATAAATCTAAAAACAATAAAATATTAAGGTTTATAGATTCTATGAAATTGTATTGTAAATTAATTTTAAAGTACAATATTGGTTTAGGTCGTTTAGGAAATATGTTATGTGTTAAAACTATTAAAAATGAATTAGAAATATTTTAGGGGAAAAAATATGTATTCATAAGAAATAAAAATGTTTTTATTATAATTGTTAAAACATTAATTTTTTACCTTATTGGTGTTAACATATTTAAAAAATAAAAATATAATATTACTTAAATATAATAGGTACATTCTATAAAATAATTAGTATCCATTATTAAATTTATAAAAATGTGACTCATTAATTAATTATTACAATACAAAATATTTGAAAATTAAATAAAAAATGGTGATTTTCGGGTATATTATTTATATGACTGATACAAAATTATAAGATTATATACTAAATATTATTATACTATAACAAATATAATATAAAAATGAATAATAATATATAAATGGTTTTTGGGTAGTATCATAATAGTTATGATTTATAAACTATATTGCCACAGTTTGTAAAGTTTGTGATTGCTAATCTAAGTCCTAAATGAGTTTAATATTGGGAAATAAATTGATACAGGTACATACCTCTAGATTAATCAGATTAATGTTGGCATTTTTAACTTCTAAATTTGTGTCCATCTATTGTTGTCCTTCAATATTGTCTTGAATAGAATGAATAGATGCATCAGATGTACCAGACTTTGGTATTTAATACCAATGAAAAATATTCTAAAATAAACAGTACCTAATTTTTTGTTATAATAAATTCACAATCTTAACTTACAATAGTGTTCAAGTTTTCAGATATATCTAATTTCAACTTATTATCACCATTTACAATGTCTAGTTCATTTCTAACATCATCCTAAAAAGTAAAAATAGCATAAAAATATAATGTTAATATTTGACACATTGGTATTTGGTCTGAGTATTGTTTATTAATACTATTATTTATAATCAATGGTCTTAGACATTTTAAAGTTCAACATGATGTTATTTTATTTTTGAGTCAAAATATTCATAAACTTACTGTAGTTTTAAGCTGAGTTTTTGAAAACATTGTGCCTATATTATGGCATGTAGCTGCTGCGGCCAATAACAGTTTTTTCTTTTTATCTCTTTCACGAGCAGCACCGCCTGTTCTCTTATTTTTATTTTCCATAATAAATTGCTATATAATATAATATTAATTATTACTGTTCACTACTTGCTCATCGCAAAAAGAATAAAATATAAAGGTCCGCTCAAACCGAAGCGGTAGCGGTGGCGGTAGCGGCAGCGAAATTTAATATCCATACGTTTTAATATGAACGCACTATCGCGAAATTAATACCGCGGCGAAAATGTTACCGCAAGATTGAGCGCGATATATTTTTTTTTTCGCTACAGACACTATATTTTTCGCTTACCACTGCGATAATCAGTTGTGAATTCCCAACTATGAGTTATCTACATTATTAATATATTAATATCTATAGAAAGCTTATCATTACATTGCATGATATATTTTGACTTAATATTCAAACACATCTATTCATCGTAATCGTACACCTTGCAGTTGAATCTAACGTCGTGGTGTTTCAATGTATGAACGATTCTCTTGTTTAAAATTTATAATTTATAATAAAAATGACCCATAAAGTTGAACAATTAATAGCTATTGTTAAAGAATATCCCATCATATATAATATGACACTTCCAGAATTCAAGGATACGAGAAAAAAAAGATTATATTTGGGATCACGAAATAAATGTTAAAATGAACGGTGAAAGCGGTAAGTAAACATATAATTAATCTATAAAAATACAAGTCATTATGATAATAGTTATAAATATTAGTTATGATAAAAAATGATAATAATTAATGTTATTAATAAAAGTCAGTTTTGAATTTTATTATTTACTATCAGTTTTCAAACATGTGCAATTAAGTAACAATTCTAATATGAAATAGGTAAAATAAAAATAAATAAGCAACTAGCTATTTTATCCAAATATAATAAAATTTTACGGTACCTACCGTCGTTTATACTTGTCAATTTTTATACATATTAAATTTGAAATAAAAACTTAAAAATAATAAATAAATAATAAGTAAATCATTATTTATTCATCATTAAAATACTCAACAAAACATTCTCGCACTCGAAAAGCTTCAATTGTACACCTTCTAGGATTATTTTCAATTTTATTCCGTAGTAAAAACGGTTCTTCATCGGCTTCGAGCTCATTGTCGTATATATTACAATTTTGGACTCTCAAATAATTATGTAGTATACATGTTGCCATAATAACTTTTTTTACAGTTGTTTCTTCCCCCATCAGAGTTTCGTCCATATCCACCGACATCTATACAAATAAACTTATAGTCTGGGTCCACAATTGCCATTAATACGACTGAAATTTTTTTTAAATAACAAAAGTTTCTTGTTCCACTATTATTGGGACATTTAATTGTTACGTGTTTCCCATCTACACTTCCAATACAATTAGGAAATTGCCATTTTTCAAAAAAACCTTGCGCTGATTTTGTCCAAATGTCCTCAGTAGGTTCCGGCATATATATATATAGGACCCATGTGTTTAATAATAGCTTCACATACCTCTATGACGATTTGACCTACTGTTGTAAATCCTACCCTATAACTATGACCAATTGTCTTATATGAATCACCCGTTGCAAAAAATCTGTAAATAATAATAAAATAATAAAATAATATATAAATATAAATATATAATAATAATAAAATACTTTTTTAGGAGATGTATTAAAATCGAAGTAAAAAAACCTACGCGATACGTATCAAAAGCATTTGAGAGTTAACAAAACATCTATGGGCCAAAGTGTAAATGGGACCAAAAATAAAAACCTCTCTGCTTATAAAAAGTGGCAGTGGGCGTCTCATATGGAATATTTGAAAGAACATATGACTTTTGCCGAGTAATTAACTATTATAATACTATTTTATTATTTTTATTTGAATATAAATTAATTGTAAATTATTTTTTTTTAAACTGAAAGAACTATATCCAACGTTCACGAACCTGCTCAAGACGAAGATAATGATACGAACGATTTGTTAAACTACACCGCATCTACTTCTGAAAAAAAATGAAGTCGTATTTTCTGCGTCTCCTAAAAATCCTCATAAAAAGTTCAGAGATCTAAGTCAAAAAAATATTGGAAATGATTCGCAATGTTCCAATATT